CTAAACCTAATGCTAACCCTAAACGTAACGCTAACCCTAACCCTAAATGTAACGCTAATCCTAACCCTAAAACCTAACCCTAAACGTAACGCTAACCCTAACCCTAAATGTAACGCTAATCCTAACCCTAAAACCTAACCCTAAACGTAACGCTAACCTTAAACCTAACCCTAAACCTAACCCTTACCTTAACTTAAATCGCCCTTAAATCGCCCTTCTGTCGACGCGCTGTTATCGGCACGCTGTTGTCGGCGCGTTGACGTCGCGGTTTTAGTGATGCGGTTTTGTCGTGCACTCTTTTGTCGGGTCACGAATAAAACAAGGTCCTATTCATAGCATTACAAATAGAATTCTCCTGCTTTGAAGAGGAAAATATGATTCGCAGTCAGCAGCTCCTCTAATCAAGCTATACCAGTCTGGAAAAGATGCGGCTTCTGTAAAGAGTTATTGACAGATGCTACATGAATGCCCGGATTTTGAGTCCTAACCACCCAGAGTGAACTGAGTGGTGGTTTTCAGTGAATATTGGATTCATAACATCTTTGCTTTGAACTTGGAACAAAACAAAAGCTGAAATGCAATGCAAGGAGTGCAGAAGGGGGCAGAATTCACCAAAAAATCTCAAAGCAACAGTTTTCTGTCTTGGCATCTTTAAATAAAATTCAAGAACAGTAACAGGGTTGAAGCATAAGCCCACGCACACAATGCATTTGTGTCTCAAGACCAAGATCAATCAAGCCTAGATTGTGATAGTCTGAGCATTTACGAAACCTCAGTAGCAATAACATTGTGTGCTTGTAAAACATACTAAAGCGTGCACTCATAGTTGCAGTTTCCAACTACAAAGTAAAATTATCACAACACAAACGCCAATATGAACAGCAATCTACCCACAAAATCTCTCTATTTTTTTTCATAACAATTAAATTGCAGTAACTTCAAAGACAGAATGACATTCATACAGCTGTAAACAGTCACATTGTATTTGCCCATGTTTCTTTTAGCAAATAAGAGACAGCCTTTTACTGTCACATTAACATGTCCTTATTTGCTAAGAGAAACTAGGAAACTTGAGATATCCAAGTTTTATATTGAGGTTTAAATAAAATCTTCAGAATACTTTTAACAGTTATTGTGAGGGCAAAACATTTTGCACATCCATGTTAATCAATTGCATCCTTTTTTTTGAATTTTTTTTATTGTTTTAGTTAAACAAAAAGACACACAAAAAGGAATCATCTTTCGTTACATCTTGTAGAAAGCGTTATCAATTGGTTACAAATATATTCAGTGCATTTCTTCCACCATCCTTACATATACTTCATTCAAATCGAGTTGTACATTTTAAGTCAAGAAAGAAAAATTGTGTATTTTACTATCCCTGTACCACAATAATCCCTTAATTACCATTATTTAAACATGTTTTTATCTAGAATCATT